TGGAGTGGAGTGGGGTGGGGAGTGGAGTGGAGTGGGGTGGGGAGTGGTGTGGAGTGTGGAGTGTGGAGTGGGGAGTGGGGAGTGGGGAGTGGGGAGTGGGGAGTGGAGTGGAGTGGAGTGGGGAGCGGAGTGGGGAGGGGTAAGGAGGGGAGAGGGAGTGGGGAGTGAGGAGGAGTGGGGAGTGGGGAGTGGGGAGTGGGGAGTGGGGAGTGGGGGGTGGGGGGTGGGGGTCAGCTCCAACCCCAAGGACAGAAAAACTTCCACTACACAGAGGTACTAGGTGATCCACACACTGTACAGGCGTGCTACCCACACTTTTCACACCCCTGTTTGGGTCACCTCGTACCTTCTCCTGGTCTTCTTGTCTTCTTCTTCTTCTCTTCAATTCGTTTTCTCTGAGCAACTAGGGTTCGAGCATCAACTAAGATCTCAACTCCTGTGGTCCAAACTGGTCTCCAGGTCGATCAAACGTCAACAAATCGAGAACAACGAGCTTCACGCAAGTTCCAATCAAGATCAACCAATCAACCAAGGTTCAACCAAGCAAGACAAACATCAAAAGGTCAAGATCCCTCAGACAGCATGGCCTCAAGGAGCTGCACAGAGCTAGCTCCTGGCTCATGCTTGTGTCATCCTTGGGACCTTGAAACCAAGATGGTTTCAAGCGGACACCTGACAGGTCAAAACGACAAACCCTCATCGCGACAAAACCTGACAAGTCCAAAAGTGCACAAAGCTTCAAACAGCAAGCGAAAATGAAGTCTAGCTTCAACCCCTTAGTTACAAACCCTGGGTTACTGTTTGACTGACAGCTTCTGAAGCACATCTTGAGTTCCAAAACCCTTCACTTGTCTTCAACTGCAACCAATCGACTCGACATCAACTCGATGCAAATGTCATCCGGTTCAAAGTCCACAGCAATCGAAGGAAACTAGTCACCCTGCTAGCTACAAACCCTCTTTACTGTTTGCCATGGTACATGTTGCAAACGCAAAAGACATCCCTGATTCTCAAAGCTCTCAACCCTTGATCTCTTCTTGATCTCACTTCCTCTGAACCCCTGGCCTCTTCCCTTTTCATCCTGTCAAGTTCAGACATAGCAATGCACAAAACTTCAACCCCTCAAGATCTCAAACGTGCATCCCCTTGACTCAACAAGAAAACTTGAACAAGACAACAGGGAGTTCAAATGAAGTTCAACCAAAGCGAGTTGAGAATCACAAGAACTAATCCCTGGGTTCTTCTTTTCTCATCGATGGTCAGCTGTCTTCAGTTCTGAAGCAAACCTAGGATCATACATCCCCGGTGCCAGGTTCTCTTCTCAAAGGAAGATGCTCCAAGGATCTCTCCTAGATATCATTTGGGTCCTGCTCAACCCAAACCCAGTGCCCATCAGAGGTTCGCATTCTCTTATACGATGGTTGTGGTGGTCCCACGCTGCCGCTGGCGCAGCCACTGCTGCATGGGGAAGTCGGCACTGAATACCCTGCAGTCGAAAACGCTGGAGGAAAGGTCGGCATCGATGGAAATCCTCCAGGGGCGGCACCAAGCGAAGTGGGCAGAAGCTTTGGCGCCACAGCCGGTGTAACCGGCGTCTGAACCCCGGTCCCCAAGGTCGCAGGGACAGTCATAGGTGCCGCAGCAGCTGCTGCTGGTGCCGATGCTGGCACCGATGCTGGCGCAGCAATTGATGGTCCGGTATTCGCCGGGACAGTCGAAGCGGCCTTGGCAGCCTGCGCAACCAGGGTGGTCTTGCGCTGTTCCACATCCACTAGGGACTTCATCAAACCATTGAGGGTCTTCAAGAGAGCATTTGTCTCTTCCTGAGCCTTTCCTTGGCGTCCCACATTCGCATCGATCTGCGAGAGCAACTTTCCAAGGGAAAGCAAAGACTCCTTTACGGAGGTATTCACCCCCTTGCCGGCTCCACTGAGCTGCCACCCAATGTCACTTAAACTCTTGGTGGCCTGCCTTTGTGCCTTCAGCTGCTCATCCTGTGTGTGTCGCACAGAACTTCCGAGCCCAATCAAACCGTTGGACAAATCCACCAGTTTCTCTCCCATCTCGGACAGTCGGATCTTTGTGTTCCCTTCAGCTTCTGCAACTTGAGTTATAAAGTTGCTGACATCGCCACACACATCTTGGAGCCTTCCAAAGCGTCCAAGCGTCCAACGCAGGAGGTCCTGCATGTGGTCCGCAGACCGGAGGGCCAAACCTCGGCTGCTAGCCGGCAAAGAATCCATCGAGGCCAAATCCGAGGAAGGACTCACGATGATTTCAAAGTATACATGGGACCAAAACGTAGCCCCTGCTTTCAAATTTTGCTGCCTCTACTGGAGCGACTGGCGGAGAATTTGGAGCTCCGTGAAGGATTTTCCAGAGTTCACACCCTGGCCTTCAGGCAAGGTCAGCTCTGCCAAATTCTGAGTCGGGTCTTGCGAACGCAAACGTTGGATGTGGTCAAGGTCCGATTGGGCCCGATAAAGGGTCTCCAAAACCTGATTAGACCCCTTGTGCCACCTTTCAGCCTCGCTCTTCGCAATCTCAAAAGGTGTCTCCGAGATCAAATTCTCGGAACACTCCACGGTAGCCATCTGCAATTGCATGAGCTCGTCCAGTGGAATGGTCGTCAGGTCCTTGTCTTTCAAAAGAACCCCGTATACCGTGTTCCCGACCAAATTGGTCATCTCACCAGCTGGTGGTGCATGGGGACCAGCCGCTTTCGGTGTTGGGACACCGTCGGCCGCGGCCGGCACAGCCGCTTCACTTTCCTCCCGCACCACGGCGGTGGTCTCAGGGCGCTTCATGTCAGTCATACTGGCTCCAAAAAGGGTCAGATCCAAAACTCGAAGTTCACCCAGCGATGCTTGCGCGACAGGCTGATGGATTGAGCAAATGAATCACGAACACCAAGCATAACCCTTGCTCTGTCAAACAGCACACAGCAAACGAAAACAACATCTCAACACAAAACCAAAAAGAACAGATGTTCTAGAACCCTCGAACACGCTACAACCCTAAAATGAAGAATGTTCACAACCCTTTTGCACAACTGCGTCCAAAAACTCGGCAACAACTGAAGTCTCAAACTGTCGTTCCCTGGCGTCTCAACCCTGCAATCCCTGGCATCCAACAAACAACTGGACATGTCTGACACTCCAAACCCCTGATCTAGCCACTCATGGTTAGCTACTTATTGCAGCCTTTGCCAGCCTTGGCCAACGGTTTCAGTGTCTCAAACCACAAACGAAAACCCTTCGCCTGGGACAAGGTCGCCAGTCGACTTCCTTCAGTTGCCTTCTTAAACAAAAATGGCGGCGGGCGGTCATCACTCAGTTCAACTGTCTCAAGACGAGGAGAGCAGTCTAATCAAGGAACAAGCGTCACAGCACAAGTTCCTACAGTTCAAGCGTCTCAATTTCCTTAGGAAAGAGGTAACTATCCGGACGTTCGGGGAAGCAAACTGGATTCCTCAGTGAATGTTTATCATCCAGATTCCACACTGCATGCACAAAGCAAATTCAGCAAAACTCAAAACACTGCACCACAGAACAGAAGGCTCCTAGATCAACAAGAAGCAGTCCTCCTACACCTCCGAACCTAGTCGGACCTCAACGACTGCTCTCGGACACGTCCTGCCACTACAGTTCTGTCGACGCAACGAAAGGTTCCAAATCCACATGCTGCGCTCACAAACCAACCGAAACTCTTCCGAACTCATCCGGACAGATCCGAACACCGACGGACAACAACGAAAACACACAAAACAGATTCAGAAACTCTCCAAAAGAATTTTGACTTTGGAAAACTGTTCCGGAAAAAGCACATTCGACAAAGTTCAAACTTCAGCAGGCACAATGCCCAAATCTTCCGTCACCGCAGGCACAATGCCCAAATCTTCCGTCGCCTTTCCGAGCACCAACGGACGAAAAATGCAAGAAACA